TTAGATGTTTGTAGACAATAGTAATTTTAAAATATTCACGACTATGGCTCAGATGGTGGTTGAAAAAATATTCTTTAAAAAACTTCACACCTATGCTAAGATGTACATCATATTACATCCAATTCTGATGAAAACATGTCTAGAATCCATGTTTTGGTACCTAGTGACTTATTTTATTCTCGCACATAGAGAAACAAAATGCGTAGTCAAGGAATGTCGTCACCAGAAGATTCTGTGGATGCGTTGAAAAAAAAAAATTCTCATTGTTCTATCACAAGTGTCTATGATTTTTTTACAAGTATTTTGTATGTACTCGTCTATCGCAGGCACATGTTCAAAAGGCAATAACAAGAGCGATATAAAAGTAGAAAATTGAATTATTTTGTTAAGTTTTCAGCTAGGCGGTCTGGCCAAAAGCCTTTTATAGCTATGTTTTGGAAAAAACATGCATACAAACAAACAACATAAATTGGTTTAGTTGGTCATGAATAATATTATAAATATAATAATTTTATATTCAAGCATAGTTAAGGCTCTGAGGGAAATGTAATCAATTTGTGTCGTGATGCAAACAGATATCACACAGCCGCACACACACTCAAGGAAGACCAAAACCAAACGACAAGGAATATTTATATCAACAAATATGTATACAACATATATACACTGAATACATATATTTTGTTTTTGTTTATCTGTTTACACTTCAATTTCCTTTTGGTCCTCCCGCCCCAAAATAATAAGAATTTGCTTACATGAATTTGTAGCAAATCACTACTGACAGCTTAAGGAAAACAAAACGCAATCAAATCAGGAAATAAACAAAATTATATTAGACAAAATGTTTCAAAAGCTTTTGAAATATGTTTTTCAGAACGAAATGCATGTTGCAACCAAAAATACGTATTATTTATATCTACACATGTGATACGACTGCATGTTAAGAAACTAGAAAAAAAATTGGTAGAGTATAAAGATGCTGTTGATTTTCCCACATTATCATTTGTTTATATTTCAATTAAAGGACCTGTAAACGACTTTCTAATGCCAAATCAGAAGATTGCACTTGCATTTTCAAAGGCTGGGATAGTCTTATTACGCCAAATTCGTTGAGAACATAAATTTGACTTCCAATTTTTCCGAAATTAATATGGTGAAGAGTATATCAAATCCGCTATACCCAAATATTCTACACAGATCCCATAATGTACATATAAGAAATTACAAAATTCCTTTAAAATTCCATGAAAAAAATTTGAAAAAAAAATTTTATTTTCACATTCACGATTTTTGGTACATACGTCAAGAAAAATATGCTGAAACGCGTCGCATAATGGTGGGTACGTAGGTTCTTCTCCTGGCTTTCCTTTTCATTGCAAAACTTAGATCATCAAGCTCGACTCGAAAGAGTGTAAATAATCACTTAATATTCTTGTTAACAATAAAACTATCTGTCAATTTATATATATCCGTCTGTTTGTCTGTGAAATCACTATAGAGCTGGCAATATTTAAAATAGACCTTCGAAATTTTGCACATGCACTGCTACTACTCCTAGGATGTTTGGTATTGCAAATACGACCATAAAAATTTCAATGGTTTGGGAATTTTTGTTACCGTTTCCAAACGAATTGGTTGAATTTGTAGTCAACGGTTATTGTTTAGGGGATGAAATGGTCCACAAACTAATTTTTTTTTCACGCTCTAGAAGTCACAATTATGGTCTGAACATCACATCTTCATAGAAAGGGATCAGACCATTACCAGATTAATAGGTAAAAACATCGTGCGGATCGCTATGAAATTTTAAAGGAAATTCACGTTATGGTCAAGGTCGACACCTACACATTTCGCCAATGATCATATGATACTTAGGGAATGGAATGGACCCTAAGCCTTATTATTGTATGGTTTCCTAGTCACTCTAGAGGCCTCTATTGAATGTCAAACATCACAATTTTTACACGGATAAGGGATCTGGCTAACATTTTTAAATGGCTGTTTTAAAAATGAGGATCGACTGAAACAAAACTTTGTGCGTAAAATAACAAAATTTGAATCGTATGGCGTAAAAGTTTACTCCGAAAAAAATCAAAGTTGGTCCACTTTATAACTTTACTTCCTAATATTGGGTATTTTGGAGATTTTGGAAAGTTTAAATACAATTCGGTACTATAGGTCCTACCGAAAATGATCACTTTTTTAGGATAGCCTCCACATAACGCTACCTACCAAATTTCGGTATTTTGGGGAGTTTGGACATGTTTTTCTCCCGAATTAGCAGTATTGTGGAATTGTAAGTTATAACATTTGTATGAAATCAAGCAAAATTATGTACGGGAGCTATATACAAATCTGGACCTAGTTGAGTAACCGTAGCATACAAAATTTGATATGCAGCAGCAAAGATCGTTGTCCAAAATTTTATCAGACGAAAATATATAGAGGTTATATATACGTATGAACATATTATATTTTACAAAATCCAATACTCGATATTTTAAATTTTGTACGTTGTGCAAAAATTCGTCCACATCAGACAACTTTTATTTATTTGGTAAACCATTTAGATAAAAGTGGATGAAAATATATAAAGGCTACATTTAAACCTGAACGATTTCAACAAATTTCTATTTCAATCCAATACGATATACAATGTTTCATAAAAAGCGAACGAACGTGGGCTCCTCGGTGCTTCATTTGCATACAGCATTTACAGAAAATCGGATAAATGTATATATGGGAGCCATATCTACATCTAAACCGATTTCAAACTTATCCAAAAGCATGTTACCCTGTGCCAAATTTCGTGTATATGGAATTTGGCACAGGGTAACATAGGTTCTCTGTTGCACTATTCTTATAAAATCGGACGAAAGTTCATATGGGAGCTATAATTTTATATCAATTGGGAGTTTGGTGCACCATTTATATAAAATCGGACGAAAACATATATGTAGCTATATCCAAATATGAATTGGCTGCAACAAAAATTGCCATATACCAATCTGAACCCAATTTAGTACGATGTGAAAAATTTTGTTTCAAACGGACAAACATTGCGAGTTTGGTGCGTCATTCACATAAAATCGCATTTGTCGTTTTGGTGCAAATTTCATCTACGTACCTTGTAGTGATAATCCATGCCAACCGTAACATTTCGAACTATTTGTCGGATACCTCCTTAATTATATACACTTCGCCTCGACAAGTAGCTACATTTCTGGTTCGTAATATCTAAGAACACTTAATGTAACAACGCGGTTAAAATGCATTCCCAATCACATTAGGATAAAATATTTCTAATGGTGCCGACTAGCACTAAAGCGAGTATACATTCAAAAGATACTTCTTTTTGTGTAATTTCACCAGCTATTCATTGCAGCGATTACAGTCTAATTATTATTATAATTATAGTTTTTATATTCTTTACCACACTGTGGTACAGGGTATATTGACTTTGTGCATATGTTTGTAACAGGCAAAAGAAAACGAGATAGACACATGGTTCCTTTGGAGAATATGCATAGAATCACTTTCTGAGTCGATTTATGCATGTCCGTGTGTAGATGTTACATTGTAAACAAAGTCCAGGTCGCATTTATGATCCGATCTGGATGAAATTTGGCACAAGTCACTTATTTGGGCCATGCACGAACCCTATTGAAATTGAAGAAAATCGGTTTAGATTTAGATATAGCTCCTATATATAGTTTCATCCGCTTAAATGTAAATGGTGCACCAAGGTGTGTGCAAAATGATGTGTGCTAAGTTTCGTGAAAATCGGTTCAGATATAGATATCGCTCATATATATATATATATATTCGTCCGATTCAAGGTAAATGGGTACCAAAGTCCCTATATATCTTTCGATTAGCATTAAATTTGGCATAGGGTACTGAATCAGGTCTAAAGTGACGTATGTCCAGTTTCGAGAGATTTAGGTATAACTCACATATATATTTTCATCCGATTTAAAGTAAATGGGCACCAAAGTCCATATATATCTTTCGAATTGCACGAATTTCAGTATTGCGCACCAAATTATTCTAGAATAATGTGTTCTAAGTTTCGTGAAAATTGATTCGGTTTTATTTATATCTCCCATATATATTTTCGTCGCATTTTATGCATATAGTTAGCGGAATTGAGTCTAGATTTACGTATGTTAAGTTTCGTGAAAATCGTTTCAGGTCTAGAGTGACGTGTGTCCAGTTTCGAGAGATTTAGATATAGCTCCCATACATATTTTCGTCCGATTTTATGTTAATGGAGTACAAAACCCCGTATATGTCTTTCGATTTGCACGATTTTCTGAGTAGCGTAAGGAATTAATGTTGTGTGCTTAGTTTCGTGAAAATCTGTTCAGATTTAGATATAGCTCCCCGATTTAATGTAAATTGTGCATTAAAGATTCAAAGTTTGACCGACTGGCACAATTTTGTACAATGTACTGAAGTTACTATAACCTTTCGTGTGTCAAGTTTTTTTTGAAATCGGTTCAGATTTACATATATCTTCTGTATATACTTTCGTCCGATTTTAAGTAAACGGTGCACTATATAGCCATAGCTAGGCCGATTGACATAACGTACTGAAAGTAATATAAATTAATCTCGGACAAGTTTCTTGAAATCGGTTTAGATTTTGATATAGCATAGTTTCCATATATAATTTCGACCTATTCATGTTTATTGTACAACAAACATACCAAATAGCGTGTGTAAAGTTTGTTGTATTTACAAAATTTAGAATAGGTTTCAGAACGAAATGTTAGATGTTAGTTGGTTTACTTATAGATAAAGATCGCATATTTTAGTTCGTTCAATTTCATGTCAATGTTCCTTCCTAATGGCGACGCCTAACAGACGTCGCCGTTTCGAACACACATGGAAAATATACCTAACGTGGTGAAGGGTCTCTTATAGTCCGACTTTACTACTTTTCTTACTGGTTTTTAGATTTAAAATTTCTTAACCTTTTATTCCTTTCAACTTACCGATATAAAAACTTCTTCCGCCTGCTGTAAAATGGCAACACGAGACCAGCCAAATTTCTTCATTAACTTAATTCTAGTTGGATTATGAACGGTAGCCGATGGATGGGTACGAAATAATGTGGGAAAGCGGCTGCGATCCGATAAAGCTGGTGATGAGGCGCCATAACAAAGCTGTAAATAAAAAAAATATATAAAATTTTATTATTAAAAAAAGTACTTCATAAGTAATGATTTTAAAACAATGTTTTTTAATGTTTTGGTATCCTCTTGAATACATCTTATTATAATATAATTTGTTATTAACATAACAAAGTTATTCCACTTTACAATGAAACCATAATGGCACTTTATAAAATTGGTTTTGAACTATTTGGGAAGCAGAAAGGTGAAGAGGAGCGAGTGAGATGTCTGAATCAAAACAAAATAAATGCCGAATAAACCACTTTAGGTCATAACTTTACTGTTCTTTCTTAGGTGTATGGGACTTGAGTTGAAAAGTGTAAATACGAGAAAGTGCGTACAGGTATCTTGGGTGTCATTGTTGCATCCGCAGCAAAACAAAACATATACATACAACGTCAAGTAAACATGTTGAAAAGTGCAAAATATTCGTATCTTCTTAAACTTTTAGGTCTTTTAAGAGGCTGGGTAAAGGGGACGCATGATTGCGGTATACGAAAAGACCATAAAAACTTCAAAATAAGTTTTCTGTGAATAAAGGTAAACAATTCATGCAATACAATACATACACTCCCCTCCCCTTTACGCAAATACCTATTTAGCAGAACAACAACTTGAATGTGGTGATCAGTGTGTTTTTGTAAAGAATCCTCTTTTGGGGTGGTAAAGCTACTCCTATTGTTGTTGATTGCTTCACATGGGGTATTGTTGCTTCTCGTTGGCTGAACAACGTGACGCAGACATCACCATATGTAACGTGGAAAGCGTATATAATATGATGGTGTGCGCATACGAAGCATTGTCATCAGCGATAAACAATAGCAAGTGTTGGAAGTTTTCACTTTGCTGCTGTCTTTTGTTACTAACTTGAGAAAATCTTCACGTACATCCTGGAAACGCATTCATAATAATTGGATGAAGTTTCAAGTGCTCTGAACTATAAATAAATGTTTTTTGGGAACTTTTAAATTTAAAAAAAATTTTACGAGTGTTGTGGCTTAAACTAAATACCTGTACTCAAATGGCCGATGGAAAAAAGCGTTAAGTTCGGCCGAACATTGGATACCCTCCACCAAAGGTATACTGACAGTTACTATCATCAAAGTCCTTACCCCACGTGGCTAAAAATTTTGTAGACCACTATGCACACGGAATATAAATTACAACATCTTTTAATTATGTTTTTTTTTTCTAAAATCTCAAAGCTCCAAATAAAATCTTAAACTCTGATATTGATATCATATGGTAGCTGTGACAATACCAAAAAAAGTTCAGATTTATATGTAGCTCCCATATATATATTGTCGGCAAATTTTAAGTAAATGTTGCTATGATTGTCCGATTTACACATAATTTTGAAAAGCATATTTAAGATTTTAGTGGCTATAATTTGATATTACTGTCCGTCCATGCATTTTTGTGAAAAAAGTACAGGTCGCGTTTATGATACGATTTCGAGGAAATTTGGCACATGTCACATACTTGGCCCAAGGGCGAACCCTAGTGAAATTGGAGAAAATCGGTTAAGATTTAGATATAGCTTCCATACATAGTTTCGTCCGATTTTATGTAACTGGTGCATCAAACCCCCGATTGAGACAAAATGTTGCACAGAGAATTAGGTTTAGATTGATATATACCAAATTTTGTTGAAATGGTTCAGATATAGCTCCCATATATAATTTCGTCCGATTTTATGTAAATGGAGCACAATACGCCAATATTGGTCCGATTCAGTTAACATTTTGCACAGCGTACTGAATTAGGTCTGGATTGATGTATGCGAAGTTTTGTTGGAATCGGTTCAGATTTATGTATAGCTCCCATATATAGTTTGAAACGATTTATATGTAATGGTCCCAGTGTTGCCAATTTAGCACTTTTAGTGCTAGATTTAGCACTTTTTAAACTCGTTTAGCACCAACAAAATTGATCTAGCACCTAGCACTTTTTTTTAGCCTTTTTTAATTTGTTCCAAGATTTTTTTCAAAATTTTTAGTATCATTCCAAAAAAATTGCAGTTTCTCGATATCATATTGAAGTTTCCGTGTGTTTCACATGGTTGATTTGATTTTCCAATGTTTTTTCTAGTGAGCGGAGCAGTGTAGTCGCACAGGGCTATCCATATGATACATTACGTAACTACCACAAGTCTTAAATTTTCTGCGAAACTAATTTCCGTGTCGGTGAAATATTCTGCGAAATATCCACCTTCTGATGTTGTAATAATTATCAGATTATAGCAAGTAAAAAACTATGTGAACGGCCGAACTTTTTATATTTTTTATAACTATATAATAAATTACAGCCAACTCGACTGGAAAATGTGTACAAAATACCCAAAATACCGAATATTGGGGGTACCGTTATATGGGGGCTAGACCAATACTTAGACTGATAACAATAACAATAACAAACATCCAAGGGTACTAGGAATGTCTAACAGATCATTATCAAAGCAGCCATGTTTTTTTCGTTGATTATTTCATACTCTAAATATCATCCGTTCAAAACCGATAGATGTCGCACTTCAACAAAACCGGAACTTTATGCAAAATTACTTCAATTATTACTTCTGAAATTACTTCATTAGCATTTTCCCCATGTACAATTTTGTGACCTCTAGAGAGACCAGAAACACATATGAAATGCTTTGGTTGACTTCAACAGCCAAATATTGACCGTTTTTACCAAACACAATAAGTGTCTTCACTGGCCAGAATCGGATATGCAGAATATCGTGACACTTGTTTCACAGCTATGACCTTTACTTTGTTTACAAATATTAATGGTCATACAGATAGTCATATACATCTATATCGCCTCAGCTATCCGGGATATAACGATCCGTATACCAAAATGTAAACCCAGGACCAATACTTCGTTACAAACTATTGAAGCACAAACACTTGCAATACTCTCACAACATAGCTATTAATTAAAATTTTAAGAAATATAGACCTCATTATAAACTATTATCAATTTTCTTAAATTCATTTTTAGCACTTTTTTCTGGCACTTTTCTATAATTTTTAGCACTTTTTAGCATATTTTTCAATAAAATCTAGCATTTTTTCTCAATCAAGTTTTGGCAACACTGAATGGTCCATACTACCAATGTTTATCCGAATGAGACCGTTTGAGAATTTTGGACAGAGTACTGAAATTACTGCATGTTGACGTCCGCGAAATGTTGTTGAAAATTTTCTTCCGATTTTATGTAGATGGAGCTCCGCACAGTCAATGTTTTCGAATTAGTACACAACGTACCAAATCGAACCTAGAACAACGTGTGTTGGATTTTGCGTCTAAATAAATTTCGGATAGTGCACTGTTTGCAGCATACCAAATGATGGGTGCCACGGTTGCTCAATACTACATATATTGCTCAATGATTTATATTCATTTTTTTATAAATTTCAGATTGGTATGTGTATGGGTTATTTTAATTTAGTACAAATATCTATGTACTTCACGCAGTTATTTTCATTCGATTTAATTTCAATGGTCCCCCAAAATGCTTTCTATTCTATCTGCATGATATTGTACATATTAGCATCTCTTGTATGTACCCAAAGTGGTGAAGGGTATCATATAGTCGGCCCCGTCCGATTTTTGAACTTTTGCAAATAAAAACCTTACTAAAACGATAAATCTTAATATGAACTCAATAAATTTCCTTTTTATTTGCTGTCTATGATTTGTGTGTTTTTTGCATTACACATTTTATAATATATTTATAACAAAAACTACTAAATCTTCTTTTTAAATATTATACAAAGAGGTTAAACGTGAATCCTTGAAGAATTCATCCATTCATTCCGAATACTTACCACAATAAGATTCCACATTTTTGCGGCTTCTGCTACTGTTGTACAGACGGTACTACAACCGGCCAATAACATAAGTTTTTGTGGTTTATTATAGAGAAGATTGTACATAACGCTGGCACCCAAACCGGGTTCACACTGTAAGTAGAAGAAGGTAAGGGTGTAGATAATTAATATATATTTTCTAGAAGATTAAATAAATAAAAGAAAAAACATCGTTTTTCATTTTGGAAATTTAGTTTGTTGTTATATAAATTTTCCACTTGTCTTAAGTGTTTCTTCTTATGAACATTTTTTTAGTAAATAAATTTAGTTAAAATGTTGAAAATATTTCTTAAGAAAACCACAACATTTGTGTAAGTATTTTTCATTAAAAATTCGAATTTATTTTGGCTTTTGTACATCAATTTATATACAAAGAGGAATATAGGTGTATGTGTTATTTAATAAAACCATGATTTAGAAAAAAACTAAAAAAGCTAAATATGTTCAGAATTAAATTAATATTAATCGTTAAGGAAAATATTGTAAGAAAAATTACAATTATTTTCTACGTTGATTTAAAGATTTCCCTAGATTTAATTCTAATTGATTATTTAATTAATAAATATTTACATAATTTTCAACACATGTTTATTATATTTCCTTAAATTGTTCTCCTTAATTAATGAAACGTTATATTTTTCCCTACTACGAGAATAAGACATAGAAAACGCTAGAACAAAATTCCCACTTATATCGCATGCTTTAATTATTGTTTGCGTTTAATGATATAATTTTGTTGAAAATTACCACTCTACAACAAATGTTACATTTAGAAGCAACATGTTTTTGTGTTGATAAACCCAGTCATGACAAAAACCCCAACGAACGCTACAAGAAACCGAAAATCATTGTTCATACATTGTTGAACGAATGTAAGTGTTCAAACAACTTTTTGTAAAATAAGTGTTCAAACTACTTTTGCCTGAAGCCTAAGAACATGCATGAACCAAAGGGTAATAAGAAATACCGAAAAACAAGACTTGTTGTATGGTTTTGGGCTTCCTATAAAAATATAATATGGATGACAAAAAGTCTTTTTTTGCATTCTTGGACGAAGTTTTAAACGCTATTTTTGCATCAAATGTCTTGATTATGGCAAGGAAATGCCACAGACATACAGTTGAAAATAGTACAATAGATTTAATTGTTTTTTTTTTTTTTGATATTTTATGACATACTCAGCGTATTTGGAATGTGTACTCAAAATATTGAAAACCGGGAACAACAGTCAATTCTATAATGAGCAAGCCTTTATAAAGAATAGATCGACTGAAAGTGTATAGACACGACTGGTCTGCTCAGAACCCATGGCACAGTGGGAAAAAATACCGATCTAGCGCGCAGAAAATCAAAAAATGAAGTTGAAGGAAACTTTAAAACATTAATGCAGTTTTAAAGTATGCACTAGAACGGAATAACGGTACATTTAAAATAGAAAATTTTTCCAACGTTAAAAATGGAATTTTTAGATATAAAATTGCGATTTTTATAAAAATTTTTGTCCATTTTGGATATATAGTATTGGTATTTAATTATATGGTATAGTTATATAACCCATAAGTTATTTTAATTTAGGTGTTTCAGGCTAAATATATGTAAGGTCCGTTTTTTTAATTTCTTCAATTAAAATAGGGGTTTAGTATGGAGTGCAGTCGAGTTCAGCTTTGATTTTTGTTTTATTTTTCTTGTGTGTCTGTCTAGAACATCATACTAAATTTTTTCCTGCGACTCTCGGATTTATGGCATTTTTTTTTTTAAATGCCAATTTTGTGTAGGAAGCTTTTTTAAGGTTTTGTTCAAATAAAATTAAAAATTTGTGAATTTTTTTTATATAATTCATCAAATATGACTTGGAATAGATCACAGCATAGCAGATAAGAAAAAAAAAACAAGTTCAAAATGTCCATCCTAAGGTTCAAGAGTACTGGGTGTGAGTATGAAAATGAGGGATTTAAGTAAGCTGCTCCAAACGTTGATTTTAAACTCATGCACTGAATATGCATTTATTCCAAATGTCTTTCTAAATAAAAATTGAAATTACAAAGAAATCGGTTGTAAGAGTCTTCTCAAATACCGCAGGTAAAGGGTTTACTTTATGAACCCTGAAAAAATATCATTGGTGTAACATTCATATATACACGATTTTACCTACATATATGGTTTTCGCTATAAGCAAACGGAAATTTTGTGCGTGGAGGTGGAGTTTATGGACTTTTATTATACCTGTTATGGATTTTCCAATGACCTTACATGCAAGGATTCGATGTTTAGGATGTATATTGCACATTTCATACCGTCTGGATTTGAAAAAGTTGAAAATTAATAGCTCCGATCGGCCACTTTTCGAAGAAAGGAAGGCACGTATCATTAATGATTTGAAGGAAGTAATGCACATTATTGTTGACACAACTAAGTCAGTATCCGGAACAACAAACGATGGCAATACTGCTAGGCGTTTTTTAGCCAACCTGGCTTGGCATCATCGATAACTGGTGTTGATGAAAAATTAATTAAAAATCTTAGTATCATCCTTTCAACCATGGCCTGTGGATATGCTATTAACGTAGAGTCTTTTAAAAAACTTGCTGAGGAAACATTTATTCTTTTCGTGGAATTATATTCTTGGTTCTATATGCCTTCAAGCATACACAAAATATTAGTGCATGGAGCTGATATAATTAAATGTGCTGCTTTGCCCATAGGAATGTTGTCTGAAGAAGCCATGGAATCCAGAAATAAGGACTTTTGGAACTACATGGAACTT